ACAATTAAAAGGTGGAAAAAATTTAAAAGGAAGACTTTCCTCCTGCACCTGGGGAGTGGGGAATGGTCAAGTTAAATCTCATGTGTTATGAAGACCTGGGTGGAAAAATGCACTGAGTTTTGCTTAAAGATTTGTTTATATTTCCAGTTCCTAGTTGGGTTTGGCTTTCAAAATTAAACAGTATTAGACAGCAATATTAATAATAGTCTACATGGATCTGATACAAATGATAATTGCAGAGACAATGCTGCTAATTATTTCTTAGATTTGCTATTTGTTTACCCAAAAGTTCATGAAGAGTACATCATTTTTAGTTTATGTTTGTTGGATTAATGTATTGAAAGTTGTTGTATCAACAATTTTGTTAGGCCTTGAATTATTTAAAACTACTTTTAAACATTCAGCATTTAAACATGTAATCTAACAAGTAATCCAGGAAATAAGTTTAAATAAATTAGTATATTCCATTACAAGAGTTTGTTTTTGCTTACAGTCAGGAAGTATCATACCTCTTTCTTCAGCCTCCATGCACTACCAAATTCTATTTGGGGTGGGTGGATTGGGGAACTGCCAAAGCACATTTCAAGACAGAAGGGTACCGGTAAGAGGAAGAAAACAACCTTTCTACTGATAGGAGCAATTCTATGAGTAGAAATGTTCTATTGGATTTATCTCATGCTAATAACCCCAAATTATATCAGTAATAAAATACTGTTACAAATTTAATATTGTAATAATCATATGATCTAACTTCATGGGTACCACATTTTAAAGTTTCAAAGAAGTTGAACAGGCTCAGAGAAGGGCAACAAGAATGATCTGAGAACTAGAAACTAAGTCTTATGAAGAGAGACTTGAAGGAACTTTGTATGTTTAGCCTTGAGGAAAGACAATTGGGAGGATAAGAGCAAATACCTGAAAGGTCCATTTATCTCTTGATCCAGAAGGTAGGACAGAATAATGGATTTAAATTGGAGGAAGGCAGATTTTGAATGAACATTAGAACAAGCTTGCTAACAATAGCTGTTGGACAGTAGAATCAATTACACAGATGGTAGGCTTCCCTTTATTGGATGTGTTCAGGTGGAAACTAGATAACCATTTGTATCAAAGGCTTTAATTTGGAATCCTGAATCCTAGATAGCTGCTTATATAATTCTAAAATGTCCCATCATTATTACTTTCATCCTCATTTCTTGAAAGGATCCTTTGAGACTGGCAGACTCAGGAAAAAACAACCACTTGGATTTCTGGAATGATGTTTAATTGCTATCAAGGTCACGTACAGGATCCTGAAAGCCTCCCAAAGCAATTCTTCAGATCAACTTACTGTATATCTAGCAAGGTTACTCTGAGTCTATTCCTTATGTTTCCCCCTACCCTGGATTAAGGATTTTTTTGTAATGGTTTGACTCCCTCCTGTAATGGTCTTGCTCCATCCTCCATGTTCACAGGGTTTGGTGAATATTCCAGCATACACTCATAGTTACACTGTAATTTAAAAAAAAAAAGTTTTTATATTTTTGTTGTGAGCTACCTATGAAATGGACAGCTATATAAAGTTTAAAAACAAATAAATAAGACTTGCTCTCCCTCCATGGAATGCAGAAGGGATAACCCCCTCCCACCAGCCCATGAAGAAGGGTTGTGCATCTCCTCAAGGTCAATGGACAAATCTGGAAGGGGGAAAAATACACAGACACTGGAATGTTCCCTTCCCTCCCCTGTTCAATGTCTGAGTCAGGAGCCAGTTCAGAAGGATGAAGCTTCTGTGAAAATTTCAGATGAAACTGGTGAACACGTTGGGGATGTGTACTTTGCTGTTACTTATCATGATCTTTCTGTCTCAGAATAGCCCTTCCAGTGAATTAGTAATCCAATCTGCTCTTCTAGAATCCAGAATACACTCCACTTTATATTCCTCTTTCCCATTCACCACAATAGAGGAGGAGGAGAGCCTCTGAATATAAGAGAGAGGGAGGTGAAAGAGCAATAAAACACCAGGTGCATTTTCATAGAAGCAGGCAAGTATAAACAAAAGGCTGCTAGATTAATCTGAGCAGTCACAGGGAAGGGATCAATAAAATCTGAGTCCAGTTTCTTGGATGGACGGGAGGAAGGTAACCTACTGGAAAGGTACACCAAATCCCCCTTTTGGCACCCTCTTCCCTATAAGAATCTGCTGCCAATTTATACACAACCTTGGGTAAATCAAGCTGCTTCCTTAAGAGGAGCTCTGGAGAGGACAAGTTACATATAAATGACTACTGTTAAAAAGTTGTTCTCCAGCTACAGAAAAAGAAGAATCAATCTGTGGGTCTTTCTGTGGGTCATCATCTGTTTGAAGAGATGGGAAAGCAGATATCCGAATCTGTCAAATCTGTTAAAAGTGAGTTGATTGCTTTTGAAGTGAGAATGGAAGAAAGGTTTGTAAAGATGAAAGAGGAGATGAAAAAAGTTACAAAAAATTGAATCTATAAGGCAACTTTTGGGAGAAGTTACACAAATTAATGATAAAGTGGAAATTTTAGAAAGTAAAACAGAAATAATAAATAGATGGAAAAGGACTTAAACAATCTGGCATTACAAGAAGGAAGGGTGTATGATAAAATGAGCTAAGAATTTGGACATAACATATTGTTGGAACAGTGGGAAAACGTGGTTGAAAGCATTGAAATTCACATTATGTTAAAAAGTTGTTCTCCAGCTACAGAAAAAGGAGAAGAATCAATCTGTGGGTCATCCATCTGAGCCCTGACATATGAGTCCTGTTGATCCACTGCCTGTCTCCCCATCACTAATATCTTGGGAGTGACCTTTAATGTGGGGGGCAGGGAATTGTCAAGTTTCGAGATTGTGGCAAGAAGGGGCAGACAGGGAATATCATTACTGAAGCTTGCATGAGAGTGTTTCTGGCAGTTTATTATGTGAGGTAGGAACATAAGTAACGTAGAAATGAGATAAAAATTGTGACCATCTGATCTGACATTGGATGCGTTTCTGAACCTTCTGCAGGTGTGCCAAATTCTTGTGATCTACCCACACTTACATGGGGTGGGCCACTCTAAGAAATGTGTCTGTTGGTGAAATGTTGCTTTAATTGCTAGTAACTCTTCATTGAAAATATCATATCATAGACTCAGCCAGGAGTCTAGAAGGAGTCTAGAATAAAATATGCAAGGCAACAGATCGTCTCCTCCCTCTGCCAAAGCCTGAAGCACAATGCCCAATGTAGATCTCAAGGCATCAGTTTGCACCACAAAGGGCAGCTGGAATGATGGAGCAGAGGCTGAGAGGAGAAGATGCATTTCAAGTCCTGAGAGGAGGCTTGCTGTTGACCAGAGACCACTTAAATTGGTGCTTTTTTTCAGGAGTTGGTAATCTTAAGCACTTGACAAAATCAGGAATGAAGTGACTGTAAAAGTTGGCAAAGCCCAAAAAACACTGGACATATTTAATAATTCTATGTGCCTGCCATGTAAGAATGGATTGCATCTTTGCAGAATCCATCTGTACTCTTTCCCTAGAGATCAAATAATCTAAATAGTCCAAGGCAGGAAAAGTAAATACTTTTCCAGCTTAGCATAAAGCTTGTATTTGCAGAGATACAGGAACACATTTCTGACCTGCATAGAATGCAAAGAAAGATTTTCTGAAAAAAATCAAAACATCATCCAGAGATACCACCACATATTTGTCCAGAATATCTATGAACCTTTCATTCATGATTCTCAAAAAGACGGCTGATAATTAACCGAACCAAAGGGCATTAGTGAGTATTTAAATTTGCCATACCAAGTATCAAAAGTTGTTAAGTATTCATGGTCATCCTTCATCCAAATCAAATTGTAAGTTCCTCTCAAGTCAAATTTACTGAAAATGCATGCCTTCTGAAAGTGGTCCAGCAGATCTGAAAGAAAAGGCAGCAAGTAGTGATCTCTAATGGTCACAGAATTGAGAAGTCTATAGTCATGAACTGGTCTCAAGACTGATCTTTCTTTTCTATAAAAACAGCACTGCAGATGCAGGAGGTGATGGGTGAATGAATCCTTTCTTCACATTGTTCAGAAACTTCTTTAAAACTGCTAACTCTTAAGTGGACATGGGATTTTGCTATCTGTGATCTGGGCTGCAAGAAGCAAGTTGACAGCACAGTCACATGCCTAATGAGGCAAAGTAGTAGCTTCCTCTTCCCAAAAAAGAAAGGCTGTGAACTGTCTCCCTCTGTTATTTCTTCCATGCCTCAATTCTTCCAGCATGCCATCAATCACCACACATTTGAAATAACTCTTTCAAGGTTCTTGCTGTGCCTGTCATGCTAATTCATCCCTTAGTTCATCAGAAAGGCCTTCCCAAAACTGGTTGATGAAGCAAAATCATTCCAGCACAAATCCCTAGCATACAACTTACAAATCTCTCAATTAGCAGTTATTCTTCTGGGTAATCATCAAAGGTGGCTCTAAACTACTTAAAATTGTAATAGTTTTCTAGGATGGTATTATCCCATCATCCCATCTAGCCACTCTTTCTTTCAAAAGGCTAAGAATGTATCCCACTTTGGCCTGATCTGTAGAGAACCCTGCTGGTCTGTCTGCTGTGGAAAATTTACACTGGATAGTGAAACTTAAGAATTTATCCCGAGCCCCCCTGAACTTTTCTGGCAGGCCTCCAGGGCAATGAAGTATCATCAGCAAGAGAGCAGCCTGTGGGATTGCTCCACGATGAGATAAATGTTGACCCAAATGCTGTGCTATCTGTATCACAACATAGAGCAAGCAGATGATCTCTGTATCTAATAATGCCTCCACAACTTGCTCTGCTGACATTGGGATACCTCAAGATCTGTAGCCATAGTTTAGGTCCAGAATGAATGATCTGATGCCTCTCTGATGAGAAAGTAAGAAGCTTTCAAGACTGATGTCAAGTCCTTCAAGGCTGGCAAACTCAAGAAACAAGAATCACTTGGATTTCTAGAATGAACTTTATTGCTAGTGGGCTAATATAACAGATACTTGAAAGCCTGTCAAAGCAGTTCTCTAAATCCACTTATACCTAGCTTGTGTAAGGAGCAGTTGAGTCTCTTCTTTACATTCTCTCCCCCAATCCCCACCTCCGACTCTTTTCTCTAATGGCCTAACTCCCGCCTCTAATGGTCTTGCCCCTTTCTCTGTGTCTCCAATGTCTGTTAGTCATTCCATTACACATGTTTTAGTAATTAAAGTTTCCCCAAATTACAACTCTTTGAAAGATCCAGTTTGCTTTTGAAAGTCATCCACAACCTCTCATTGGGTGGCTGATGATGGACACCAATGATATTATTGCTTTTATTAATTCCTCCACATTTTAATCCAGATGTCCTTTACAGTATTGCCAAATTCATTCACTGGGATTTTGAATAGATATACTTTTAAACATACCATAAAACTCCTCTTTCTTTTGAACAAATTACTGTAACTCAATTGTTATATTCTAATCATGGGAGTCATTATACCAGCTTGTTATTCCTATTAAATCCAAAGGTGTCTACAGGATCTGATGCTTTGTCAAAATGCCCAAAGCAGTATCACATTGTAATAATGAAAGTCCATCCCTTTCATTCATGCATTTGACTTCATAACATGTACAAAAGATACAGAGCTTGTATCACAAAATAACAATGCTGTCAACATTTCATCCCCACAGATAACACTGATTCAATCATATTCTGCCTTCCTATATTTGAAATTTTAAGTGCATCTAATTTTGCATACTCCAAGAAACAGAACCACAAACTTTATAAGCCAATGTTCTAATTTTTGATTGATTGTTTTTAATAGGCCGTATTACAGTAACACCTATATTCTTCCAGTGCAGGTTTGTGACAGAGGACTTTACCTTTAGGATTTTCATTTACAAACTCCAAACAATTCAGCTTAAAGCTCTCCTGATAAAATTTGCCACACTTCAGCCAAACATATTTTTATCAGTTCTTTTGAGTTATTAAATTTAAATCTGATGAGGACTACTAGACCTTGGATTCTTTCTTATTATTTAACAACAGTAGTTGTTACATATTCAGTGTATAATATTCAGTTTCCAGAATGGCAAACTAAACTGTTTAAAACGAATGGTTAAATTATAAAGAACATTCACTGTGTGCTTCATACAGTACAAGGAATTTACCATTTAAAACTGACCAAAGAGAAATAACAGAGGAATGGAGGAACAAAGAAGCAGAACTAAACAGGGATGCAGTATATGGTTATTTCAGTTACATGCTTGGGCTTAGTTACAGGCTTAATTACACAAGAGCATGAATACTAGAGATCTGCAAAAACTTCACAAAAGTGGTAAAAGGATATGAAGTTACATCCATCCAATCACAAGCTGAGAACGAATAACTGAGATCACAGTCCTTACCTAAAACAGATACTTAAACAAACGTGAGTGAAGAGACAATGTCAAACTATACTAGGCAGGATGTTTTTTCTCAGTACTTTATGGTCCATGTGGTGTGGTGGAATGATGCAGGTTTTTGAGACGGGCCAATTCCTGATTGGCCTTTATAGTCTGATTAATAAGATATTCACTCTCTTGTCCCACCTCTGCCAGTCTGAGGTCAAATTCCACTACTGTCTTGTTATCAGACATGCCTTCCAGCAATTGCTTCCCTCCATCCTGAAACCAATAAAGAGACTAAGATGAAGACCAAGTTGTGCATGCTGCCATATCTCACAATCTAAATGTTACTTTAAAATGTACACAAGGAGCCTGAAGAACCTTTTTTCTTGAGACTCCTTTTGGGAGATTGTAGAATGTGCACATAATTTTTTTCCCCCAACCCATACTTCACTTTCACCAAATGCCTCTAAGAGATCTCTATAACTGAATTGTCTCTATAACTTAACTCTTTTCCTAGTATGTTGTGCTGAAAAAATTGGGCTGGCTTCATTCTAGCTCATTTCCAGTGTTTCTCTGAACTTTGAAGGAACTCAAATTCTGTCCCAAACCTAGACTGAAACTATGCCCTTGCTCAGGAGTGGTTGGGCTTTCAACTTTGTTGTGTGGAATATTAGAGCAGTCTAGAATATTTCAGAGGTCAGGCTCAGCTGCACTGAACACTTTTCAAGCTCAGGAAAGACACAGTAAAAGGTGGTTGGGTATCTTTTATTTTGAGTTACTATGATGCCAAATGTGTGTACATGATAATGCCACCCTTTTGCCAACCTACTGCAACTTAAAGATAACTGTTCACATAATGGATTATGTGTTATGCTCTTAGTTATGAAGATGCCATGACAGTGACATATTCCTACTGCTTCATTATGTTGTCAGAAGATAATAAAGGATTTGCTTAGAAAATACTAGACAGATGTGGCAGGCAATTCTTCAAAGCTTTGGCATGCAAGAAGAAAGAGTCAAAAATCCATTAACTCCTTCAACCCTAATGCATCTATGCAGGCCCATAAGAACAATATTGGCATAACAAGAATTGTAAAATGACATAATGACACATGTGCTACTAGACAGATTTTTAAAGGAGGTGCAAAATAGTCAGGAATATTACTGGAACTGAGGAATGAAATCAAGGATAACTGGTGATCCTTTGACATGAGCTGACAATGTCTTCATTAATTCTCTGTTTTGGAACCTCTTACTGTATCTCCATAGTCTATGGTTTTTAAAATAAAGACATTAATCACAAAGTTAGATTAATGATAATATACCATAATAATTCTGGAAATTGAGAATACCTTGTATTTCTACTTTTTCCACTATATCCTTTCAGCTATCAGCTACCTCTTGAAAACCTATTTAACTGCATAGCCATAAACAAGTTATCTTATCAAGGCTTTAGTTGTACTCCGAAATTACTCTGTTATAAAGAACATGTACATTAAGCCTTTGGTATACCATTGGGATGCTGATAGTCCAAATACTTGTTTAACTGCCAAAATGGGGAAGGGGCACGCACTGAGAATCCTGTAATGTCTGAAATCCAAGGCAAGCAACAGAATGCTTCAGCTGGAAAGCCAAGCTTGGAGAACACCTGCAACCTAATGTTACAATAAAAAATAAATAAATCTGGAAATAAGGAAGTTACATCTTCTAATGTAAGTAAAACTGTGTCTAATGCTAGATTGTAAAATTAGTTACTTGTTACAAAAGTAAACCAGACTGATTTTCTCACTAATTTGATTCGTACAACAAAGATAACTTCTGCAGTACTGTACCTAGAAGGTTAACTTATAAGTCTGGAACTACCCAGATCAAAACTTAGTCTGACACTAAGGAATGAGACACATAGAAGTGAGACAACTGAGTACATCTGAGGTGGATGAATATATTGCATTACAGTATTTTAATCTGCAGATACGATTGCAGGTTGAACGGACTATTTTCTAAAAACAAAAGCCAACTGTAGATCAAAAAGACTCCTCCTTATTATGTCAGAACTTACCCAGTTCTCAAATGAGAACAGTGATGCTGAGTCACCTGGCTCCTCCTCACATTACTGATTTACTAGCTGTCTGCTCTGCTTTCTACAGAAGTGCTATAGGAAGTGGCTTCCAGCGCAGAGGCCTTTTGTATTTTGCTGCCTATTTTGGGCTTGAGAGGCACCTTAGCAAATAACTGCCTAATGTAGAAAGGGCTGTTCTAGAGTTCCTCACCAAGAAACACCCAAAGACTCCAGGAAAAAAAAAGTACATTCCTTTCTTCTTTATGATCATAACCTTTATCAGTATTCTCATTTGTTGGGGCTTTCAGCAGGTACAGCATAAAAACCCTGCACTTCTTTTGAAGACAGAGTCAAAGATTGAGGAACAGAAGGTAAAGTTTTATTTATTGGCCTTACTTTCTAGGGGAAGAAAAGTCAACTCTATCAACTCCTTTTCTCTGCTAAGAACCTGCCCCTCTGATGCCTTTTATTTCTGGGAATTCTTCTGTATGTCTAGGGCAGATCAATTTTCTTCCCAACCAATATTACGTCCCAGCTTTATCCTCCAGACCTGATCTACCCTTCAAGATTGTAAGAGAATGCTTTGAAATATCTAAGCACTGGGTAAGAAACACACACTCCCATTTCAGGAAGATTACATACTAGTCCAATGTGGTTGCAGGAGAGGTTGATATGAGTCAAGGCAGTGTTCTGAGCCAGGACTTGAGAGAAAAGGGTGGCTGTCGGCTCAGATAATTCATTGCCACCCAAGTGAAGAGTTGTCAGTGTGCTGTTACCCAGAAGGGCATGGCAAATGGCTTGGCCTCCTTCATCCTCAATGCAGTTGAGGCGTAAGTTGAGGGATGTCAGAGTAGAATTCTTGGACAGCGCGTGAGCTATAGACTGGGCTCCTTGAGCCCGAATCCTGTTATCGCAGATGTTAAGTGTTACCATCTTACTGCGGTTAATTAGCTTGCCAATAGCTCGTGCTCCCCTGTCTGCAATCAGATTGTGGGATAAGTTTAATTCTACCAATGAAGGGTGATCTAATAGGTGTTGGATCAGTATCCTGGCTTTATCATCATCCACTTTGCTACGGGTCAGCTTGAATGCCTGCAACAACAAAATGAGATCACATGCATTTATAAAGAAGTTAACATATTTCCAGTAAAACACTTTTTTCCCACCCTAAATGCCTAAAACAAGGGTGGGCAGGGTGTTTGGTGGCCAAGGGCTACACTTAAGATTTTTGGTACAGTTGAGGACCAGGCCAAGTGGACGTGAACAGGGCTGGATTTGGGGGAGAAGGGGGGTGGAATCTTGTTTTTTTCTGTGATATGCTTATTTTACAAAGTGGTGAGAAACTCTGTAATCAATTTTAAATATTTATAGGCTTTGGGCTAAAAAATAAGGATTTGAACTCTATACAGTTTTGAGTCCAAAGGAGCATATCCTGCCCTAGAAAGTTAATTTGTTTCTAAATGAAAGCCAAATTGAGCATTTCATTCCCTTAACTGCTTTTTGTGGGAGGAGAGAAATTACATTATGAGTTGTGCAGCAGCATTAGAACAGCAGGGTTTATACTATCATTTAAATAAACAATAAAACAGTAAATGTGATTGTGCCTTAGATGCTCAAACAATTGGCACCCACATAATATCACTTGAAAGCCCCTGGCATGTAGGCAGTTATGTAATTACTTCTGCCTATATTTCCTCAGATAATTTCTATTGAAAGATTTTTCTGTTACCTCTTAAATAAAGCTGCAGCTAAGAAGATAGTGGCCCATCAGAGCAAACTGATAATAAGGATGAGATATAATATAATTCTTTTAGGTGTTATAAACCAAAGCTTAGTATTTGTAACTGCTTATGATAGTTTGGGGATATAGAACTGGAAAGTCTCACTACCCATTCCATTCTAAGTTTTGCAAGAACAGTTTTGCCCTTACCTATCCACACCCCTTATTTTCTTTCTCTTCTAATGTAGATGTCTATAGTACAGGTAGGTATTTGGGGGAAATTAATTGAAAGATTGTAAAGACTAAACATATTTAGACCCAAATCTTAGAAGACACATAGAAGATCAACGTCTGAATTTATCATTTTTTGTTGTTGTTTTGTTTTAAAATTAAAAAAAAAAAGGTTGGCCCTTAAATTGGATTGGGGTGGCATTCCAATGGAAGAAAAGTTTAAAACTTCCTTTTCTGCAATTTAATCTGGATTGTATTTGGGAAGATTTAAGATAACACAGCTAAAGTAAAGCAGTAGAAGTTGCCCCGTGCCAGCACTGCAACTCTAATGCAATTTTTAGAATCCTAAATTATCATCTTGTCTGAGTTTTATTTGGAAGTAAATACCACTGAAATCTGCATGATGTAAATGTCATTTGTCCATTATAGCACAACCAAAGGATCCAGTTTCACAGATCCTTCTCTCATAATCCTTAGCAGACTGGGAAGGACCTGTGGAATTGGCCTCTTGAAGGAGGATGAAGTTGTAGGAGAAGAGCTGCGAATCCTCTGTTTTAACATATACAGGGCATTTCATTTCCTAGTAAGAATTTTCAGGGTTAACGTGCTTTAGATGCGCTAAAGCCATGTGTAAAGGAATTTAGAGCTGACCTTGAGGAAAATACAAAAGAGCTGTTAAGGGGAAGGAGCCATTAGGGAGAGACTTGGAGAAGGGGTTATAGAGTCCAGAGACTGAAGCAAGCATGAAAAAGAAACTCAACATAACTCTGCCTTGATTTTGTTTAGTATAAGAGGGGCCGGAGAGAAACTTGGGAGGGTCTTTCAAGATCAATGTCAGCCCTTTGAGGTAAGGCAGTCAAGAAACAGACACTGCAGGATTCTAAGAATTGTTGTAGGGTAACCTTTCTCAACCTTTTTACCCTGGAGGAACCCTGGAAATAATTTTCAGGTCTCAGAGCCCATGCATAAAAATCACAAAAAATATGAAAACTTCATAAAACAAATCACTTCTAACCCACACAATCCACGTTTTACATTTGCAACAGCAAAGGGGCAGGCTGGCATCTGAGTCACAATGTATAAAAATTCCCACCATTGCGAGTGCTAGCATTGCACAGCATGCAAAGTCCAAAAAACAATGTCTATTTTTTTTTCAGTCACAATTTCTTGTGGAACCCCTAGCAGAACTCTGGGGTTCCATGGAACCCCTACTGAGAAAGGCTGTTGTAGAGTACAACAAAATCTTGAAAACCTAAGTTTCTCTCTGTCTCCTCTTATACTAAACAAATCAAGCAGGATTATTTTGAGTTTCTTTCTCATGCTTGCTTCAGTCTCTGGACTATGTACCTATTTTTCCGACAATAAGACGCCCCCATGTACAAGACGACCCCCACTTTTCCAGCCCAAAA